ATTTCAAACATACTGAAATACTTTAGATGCGGAGCGGTGTTTCTGATATCAGTGAGCGCGGAGTGGAGCGGGAGCAGGAAATGGTGAACCCGGAGCGGAGTGATTATTCAATGCTCGGAGCGCGGAGGGAAAATTGTTGCCGCTCCACTCCGCTCACATACTCTGTCTCTACAGAAGGGGGGCCCGGCAGAAAAAGTTTGGGAACCACTGGCCTACTCAAACACACAATATTTAATTTAATTTAATTCATACAGGCCTACCTCATGTTGCACGTTTGCACATTTTGAGAAAAACAATGGCACAATAAAAAAATAGACTTTTCAGGTCTATGTCCAATCCCTCACTTTTTCTAGTTATATAAGGTTAAAATATTTTGCCTGTAATTTTTTTTTCTCATATCGCAATATAATATCAATATCTCCTGGACAGTGTAAAATATCGTGACATGAATTTTAGCTCATATCGCCCACCCCTACCACAAAGCAACGGAATGAAACGTTCAGAACACCCTAGCAATCGTAAAGCAATGCAATGAAACGTTTAGAACACCTGAGCAACCACAAAGCAACGCAATGAAACGTTTAGAACACCCTAGCAATCGCAAAGCAACGCAATGAAATGTTTAGAACACCCTAGCAATCGCAAAGCAACGCAATGAAATGCTCAGAACACACTATGTTCGCAAAGCAACGCGATTAAATGTTTAGAACACCCCAGCAATCGCAAAGCAACGGAATGAAATGCTCAGAACACCCTAGCAATCGCAAAGCAATGCAATGAAATGTTCAGAACACCCTAGCAATCACAAAGCAACGCAATGAAATGTTCAGAACACCCTAGCAATCACAAAGCAATGCAATGAAATGTTCAGAACACCCTAGCAATCACAAAGCAACGCAATGAAATGTTCAGAACACCCTAGCAATTGCAAAGCAACGCAATGAAACGTTCAGAACACCCTAGCAATCGCAAAGCAACGGAATGAAACAGTCAGAACACCTTAGCACTCGCAAAGCAACGCAATGAAACGTTTAGAACACCCTAGCAATCGCAAAGGAACGGAATGAAACGTTCAGAACACCCTAGCAATCGCAAAGCAATGGAATGAAACAGTCAGAACACCTTAGCACTCGCAAAGCAACGCAATGAAACGTTTAGAACACCTGAGCAACCACAAAGCAACGCAATGAAATGTTCAGAACACCCTAGCACTCGCAAAGCAATGCAATGAAACGTTTAGAACACCTGAGCAACCACAAAGTAATGCAATGAAATGCTCACAAAGCAACGGAATGAAACTTTCAGAACACCCTATCACTCGGAAAGCAACGCAATGAAACGTTTAGAACACCCTAACAATCGCAAAGCAATGCAATGAAACGCTCAAAACCTGTAAAAAACTAAAAAAAAATAATAAAAATAGCAACACCTTTGCAACTATCCTAGCATTGCGATGCACAGAATTAGCATGTTCAAGCACTACTCACATTTGCTTTAGAAAATGTTCTTAGTTGTTTTGCAGTTGTTGTTTAAATGCTTGACACTTTGAATCACAGGATGTTAACAGGCACTAAAAATGTATTGAAGTGCTCCATTTTAATAAAAGTTGGAACTGAGGGCTAAATGCTGAGCTTTTGAGATTTGCAGAAAGCTAATGCAACCCTAATTGCTTGTGTGGCAATTTATGCATGCATTTAGGGCTAAGTACTAGCTGTTGGAGGAAACTTATTTCAATGCCCCAAAATGGTGAGGCAAATGGTTTTGTTTTTATTCACTACCGACTGAATTCTTGTCCTTGAAACAGAATACCAGCTCAGAAGATTTTTGTAATCTGTTCTTCTCTTAGTTAAATTTACTTCTTTAAGAAAAGACTGAAACAAAAACAGTTCCTGATTTCATACAATCTTTTCACTGAATGCAACTTCAGTGTTTCAGTGAAATGTTATAACAAGGCCTTTCATTCAATAAGATATGCTGCTTCTGTAAAATCGTTTCAAATAATAGTATGCTAATGTTGTGTTTAATTCAACAAGTAGCATCTCATATTTAAATATGGTTTGATTTTGCATTTTTATTCAAGTTTGTATACATTGGTATACATTTTATCAGTTTAGTCATTGAGTCAAGATGCAGATGTTAAAAATGACAGGTGACATTACTTCAGGTTGACATTACAGTCTTTAAGATACTAACCCTCACTTACAAAGCCCTTCATTACCTTTTTCCTTCATATGTACCTGAATTACTTCAACCTTTTTGCAAATGTAGTAAGTCATGTAGTATACATACGCAATAAATAATGCTGAGTATACATACTATTAACTGTAAATAGGTAAGTGTTGTAGTATGGTAGTATACTTTTCTCTGTAAGTAGAGACCAGATGAAATCCACCCAGGCTTTTAGTGCCATCTACTGTTGGATGTGCAATTCAGAACAAAATTTCATTACAAGGTGCAGTGTTATTTTAGTATCATTGAGATACTGTTTTTTTATTAATATTTTGAATGTTTTAATTTTAATGTTAGCTCATTTTAATTTTCATATTTTGTTTTCATTTTAATGATAGCTACCATGCTAGCATGGTATAGCCACAACTAAAATTCCTTAAAATTTTGAACAATGAAGATTACATTATTTCTGAAAAATCAAGTGTTCATAAATTGTTCTCTAAACTTGATCTCCACTGTGTGTGTGTGTGTGTATATATATATATATATGTCTGTGAAACCAGGCCTAGATGTTTATTATCCATCAGGGAGAGAGACAAAATAATATAAAAGTAATACAAAATGAACCAAAAAACAATTCATCTCAAACTTCAAAAACAACCACCTTTAGAAATCACAACTATTGAGCTTCATGTTTGCATGATTGATTGATTTTTAAGTAAGCTTTTCTCAAGAAACCTAACATGTTAAGGTTTACATTGCATTAAATACAAATTAAGTACACTAAATATAGTAGCTGAGGAGAAAAATATGGCTAAATTTATATTAGTACAAAGTAATTTAAATGTTTGACTCTTATAATTCAAGAAAAAAATACAAAAAAATAAAAAGAGAAGTAAATAAAAATGGAAACCTGTAAAATGTACTGGACAGTAGTTCTTGTCTCCAAGTCAACAATACATTCCACTTTAGACTTGACAAAATAATTAACATCTACACACATACAGAGTGCCTTTGTACACATGGCACAAGGTTTGGTTCAATTCACAAATTTACCAAGCACCACACACAACTCACTATACAAAGACCACTATCTGTTTCTCTACTGGCATCTTTCCACTCATTTAACTTTACAGTATGAACAAGGCTTTATCTACTGTTGGGATACACAGGCATGAAGATCAGGGCACAAAAAAACATGGCGGGTCTTGGAAAGGACAGTGACCTTAGCTTTTGCTGGTGCGGCTGAAATATAACATTCACACTTGTTGATGTGATCAAATCATGCATGACAGATATCGATATTGCTTCTGTCAATGTTTTCTTATTAGGCTACTGCCAGAAAACAAACAGGTAAATTATACACATCCAGTCCACTTGAGGGCACAAGAGGACTATGGGTGTCAGTTAGGGATGAAACCTCAGCCAAAGCTTTGGACAGGAAGTCCTGTCTTACCAAGCCCCACAATAGTGTACTAAACATCACATTGTGGAACAAGCTACATTCAAAACATCCAAATACACACATTAACGGAATTTCAACAAAAAGCACATAGAAAAACTCCCCAAACAGACATGAATAGTATCACACATGGGCATATTGATGTTTCACAGTTCTTGAAATGATTGCAAGTATTTTACAAGCCTTGATACAGACATTGAGATGTCATATTACATATATTGTACACTATTATTTTAAACTATTTCATACTCTATTTTCATATAACTATGACCCAGTTTCACAGTCGAGCATCTATTCATCACTAGCTCCTCAGACTGTAAATTCCGTTGAATTGGAACAACAAATCTAAATAAATTCTCTACTGTATATATCAAATCCACAATTTTCAGGTCCGAAAGAGTTTAAATAATCTCTAGATATCTGTAATTCAGGAATTTCACACAGAAATTGCTTGTCGATGCATAATAGAGAACATATTTTCAGAAAATGTAAAGAAAAATTGTTAGACGTGGACATAATGTTGGGGAGATGCAAAGGACTACAGTACATCACTATGAAAGTAATTAATAACTAATATGATACCATACTGTATACTGTACTTGAGACAATATTACTTTATAATATGCTTTACTTGTAGGGTTTAAACCAGTGAGGAATAAACCACCCAGAAGCCATATTTTACAGAAATTACTGAAATTCAATCTGAGATTATACGCAAACCAACAGATACGATTTCTGAGACAATGAGAACATTAAAATATCAGCCTTCATCGCAGATTGAGATCATAATGGATTGAAATATATAACAAGTCTGTAGCTAAGAGCAGATTAAATACATACTCTATTCGAGAGCGTTTAAATCAATTATTGTACAAACGTACAACATGTACATGTACAAATATTTTGTCCAATCAATTTCGTTAGCCGAACCTCAGCTACAGTACATCATCAGTAAAATGAGACGATTAAATCCTGAGGTAAAGAAAACAATGTTAATAAGCACAACTGCATTCACTAAAATGTCAACAACATTTAACACAAACGAAAATACGACGCGAATACACACGAACTAAAACAACATAAACATATGGCTTTCCACAGAAAATGAAAACAAACTTTCTTTGTACTTGCACTTGATGTAAAGTGCTCAACAGAAACAATGTAATGTTTATAAACTTCCCAGCAAACAAAAATATGTTCTAAGAACGTTTTGCTAATGTTCCCATTAAGTTGTGAAAACGGTATTTCTGAATGTTCTCTGAACTTTCAAAATGTAGTTTTTTTAATGTTTTAAAAAACGTTTCTTAGTTAGACAAAACGGAACATTTTGCAAACATTATGGGAATGTGTTCCCTGAACATTCTGAAACAAGTAGTAATATTTAAAAAACATTAGACGAATGTCCAACTAAAACGTTTTAGAAGAAAAACGTTCCATGAATGGTGTATGAATAACACTGTGCTAACATTCGAGAACATTATTAAAGACCAGATAACTTTGAACAAACATTGAACGTTACTAGAAGAACGTTTGTTTATAACTTTGAGAGAACATTGCTAAAGTTCTCAGAACGTTCCCTGTTAACTGGGTTTATACTTTTTCAACTGCAAGATCAAGTAAATACCAGTCAATTTACTTCCAAAAGCTGATCATTTCTTCTCTTTGTGAATAAAACGTACGTTTATTTGTAAGACGTGAGAGTAAAGATGCGTTTGCTAAATAGTCGAAATGTGTTCTTGAATACTAACAGCCAAACAAAACATAGAACTGGCTTGCAAATACCACACTGACGAATCTGAGAATCTAGTTACTATAGAGACATAGTGAGCTTTGGAATGTTTCCTTACTGGTGGTCTAGTTCAGCCATGTTTGAAACACGATAAGTGGAGAAACACTACATAACTGTTAATTAAATCTGCCGTAATACCACATGGCAAGACTGATATTTTCCTATTGAGGAGTTCTAAATACCGAAAGCAACTCCTTAAACTATCACACACTTGTAGAACAGTTTAAGCAAAAGCTTATGTATTGTTGTACTGCTGGAAACTTGTTTGAATTCAAATTGTCTTATATCTTTCCTTTCTCCCTTCCCCCATTTCAACCACTGACTTTATCCCTCTGGAACGCCCCCTCCAAATACCCTGTTTCTGTCCCCTCCCCCCATTGTGGCTGAAAAGGATCTACATTGGCTCATCATAGTTGTAAGTTGGGGCAGCCGAGTACTGTTGACCCTGCATGGTCCCCTGTGCAGCCCCCATAGCTGCCTGCTGTGCTGCCTGTTGGACGTGAGGGTTCTTCCAAGCGCCGGTGGTCCATTCTTCCTGAGCCTTGCTCATGCTGCCCCCGCTGCCACGGTACAAGTTGTGAACCTGAGACAGAAGACAATTTTACTGCTCAAAAGTTGACCTTTTATAGCTCAGCAGATCACGTGTTCTAACCAGGCGACAATTAATTTATCCAGTTTGACAAAATCGGAATATATTTGATGTTCAATATACAGACTTGCTTTCATTTAACCATTGACTTTGCTACAAAATATCTACTTTGCTCAGGAATCCTAAGAAAAACAGACCAAAAATTAAATAATTGTCAGCATTTAGAGGATAGAGCTATAAAATTATACACAGGGATATTTAAAATGTGGCTGACATGTAAGTCAGTAATTATTTTCATAGAACCAATAAATGGCAAATATTTAATAATAATAATAATAACAACAACAACAATTGTCCAAAATAATCTAAAGACACTTGTTAAAGACTACTGTTACTAGTGTTTTTAAAGATTAAAAATAGTATCTGATATGTAAGCCAATAATTAATTTCATACAACCAATAACTGATAAATGGCAGATATTAAAACAATTATTCTATAATATTTTGTGTAAAATAATAATAAAAACACTCACTAAAATCAAACGTTTTAGATGTTTTAAAGTGAATTTGGGCATCACAACATTATAATGTACAGTATTAAAAATGGTTATTAATTTCCATTACTGTTAAAGATTACTGTTATTAGATTATTAGTGTTTTTAAAGATTAAAAACAGTGGCCAATACGTAAGCCAATAACTATTTTCATAGAACCAATAACCGATAAATGGAGGATATTAAATAAAAAATAATAATAATAAAAACATGATTTTATAATATTTTGTCTAAAATAACAAAAAACACACTGTTAAATGTTTTAAACCAAAATTACTTATGACAACATTATAATGTACAGTATAAAAATTGATATTAATTTCAATAATTGTTAACGATTACTGTTACTAAATTGTGTATAATTAAATATTGTGGCTGATATGCCAGTAATTTTCATACAACCAATAATAAATAAATTGCAGATATTAATAAAAAATAAAAAAAATTCACATTTAAAAACTTTTTTAGTAAATCTGAGCACAAGACCCTCTTCAGAAACTCTGCAGGAAAAACTGTACAGGAAAAAAAGAGAAGTAGGAGAGTACTGTAATGTTAATCAACAAAAAAAACAATATTGTTAATATTAAGGTATTACCCTCAGCATAAATTAGTAATTGCTTGAATTTCAGGAAATATCATGAGACCTTTGTATATTCAAAACAATAATGATGGAGGAACAGTAACGGGTACCTTGGTGAGCGCAATGAACGAGAGAACAGCCACGGCAGTGAACATTATGGTTGGAATCAGCATAACAACAGCAGAGCCAATATTAGTGCTGAAAAAAGTGATGGTGGCCAGCCAGCCACTGTAATACAAGTACATAAAGAAGACATATTCTCCTCATTAACATGGTAGTTAGAAAGTAAACTACATGAAATGACTGTATAAATTCATAACATCCTAATAAAATCTAAACAGACTATAATATATGTGCGCTAAAAATATTATGTGACGCAAGAGAGTATATGAGTCATTTGAGTTTCTATAGGGTAACTCAACTGGAACTGACCCAGATTTGCTGTATCTATCTACATTACTGTTGGGTTAAAAATAACCCAGTTTGGGTTGTTTTGCAAACCACTGCTGGGTTAAATATGGACACAACCAACCGTGGGTTACTTTGACCTAGCATGTTGAGTTGTTTATTTAATCCACCATAATGGTTTATCTATCTATCCATTCATCCATCCATCCATTCATCCATCCATCCAATTTCTTAAACACTATGAGCAGTTCTTACCACACTCCCCATCCTGGGATTCCAACACTCTGGATGATACTAATCACCACTTGCGCCATGAAGACAAAAAAGAATGCCATGAAGTTGAAAGAACTGTCCGTCCTGTGAAAGAAAAAGTGAACTGCATTAGGGTTGTGCACAATGACACGATTACAACTCAAAGACTATTTTAAAACATCTCGGAATGCCACAGCTCATCATTAATTGAACTCACTTGAAGGCCTTGTAGATGGGCCTAAACCAGCACACGTATGAGCATGGGGTGAACAGTATCAGCCACAGAATGGCCATCCCAAAATTGGTTGCCCCGCCCCCTCCGCACATCCATGCTAGACAGCCAATCAGGTTCACTGCTAGGGTGGCACTATTCACTGTGAGGGGAAAAAAAACAAAGAATTTCATTAAAAAAACTAATTTCATTTCGTTATAATGAATGTCTAAATATCATTTATATGTAAATATTGTATTTGTTTCATAATTTGATGGATACATTACAAGGAAAACTGAAATTGTCACATCTACTGGAACAGGGCAGATACCAAAAAATGTGCACATGTATGACATACAATGACTAAAATCTAATTGCTAAGTAATCTACCTCAAATCTAGAATTCATTTTAGATACTAATACAAATTTTCATTTATCTCAACAAACCATTAGTTCCCATTAGTGTGCTAATAAATAAAAGGACTTTTGTGAATATCCTACATTGCAAAAGCAAATCTAATGCTTGTGATTCTCATTATAGCATAGTAAACTGGACAATAACACAAGAGTAATATGACACCCCACATTTTTACTTGTGGACTGACAGATTAACACGTTTTTGTGTGTCTGTTTCTCTCAGTGTTTACACTGAAAACAAAGGTGACACTGTAATGACAAATAAAGCCACATGATTGCAATATACTGTATAAAATTACATGCACTGAGAATATCACAAAAATATATAATAAATGCTGAAATATTTTTATCAACGTACATATCCATAGGTAATACAGTCGTTTGCACATTGTACGCTGGTGGTCTGGGATCTCGTTGAAGTCTTGGTAAAAACATGGTTTCAGTGGAATGAACCGTGGAAGAGGAGGGAAATTATTTTCTGTGGGGAAAAACACAAATTAAAGTCCTGGTTCACCAACAAAACTAATAAAACATACCATAGTACTTTGGACATGTACCATGATAGGACCATGCAATTCTTTGAAATACCTTACAGTACCATGTAAATACCATGGTACTTGAATATGTTAACAATTCAGTTTGGTTTAAGAAAGTTACACGCTCTCACCTGCCATGGAGATTCTTTTTTCAGATCACCAACGTCAAACTTTAATATTTAAAAACCTGTAAAAACACACATTACAGACACACAACAACAAATTCACACACTGCAATGAAACACTGTAAGGAGTGCTCATAATAGGCTACAAGAGGTTATAACCTCATTATCCAATATATTCCAGTGTGAAAGGGAAGCTTGCCTTCGGTTAGTAAAACGGCCTGGTAACAATGAAATAACCTGAGTAAACACAACTTAGCACACAAGCTAGATCCAGCATCCCTAATAAAGGGAATGATTCCTTATTCAGTATTACAAACTTGACACTTATAAACCTTAAGCAGCCTGCAACACTGATAAGCACATTATTTTTGAAATGATTAATATTCTGATAATACGACGACTTGTTAGTAATTTATTTATTTTTAAAAAAACAGCGGCTTCAAAAACTATTTGAAGCATTACTTTGTGTTTGTAGAACAAAAGGTAAAAATATCTTCAAGTAATGTTTATCACAAAAATTAATTTATAAATCCAAAGCTAACAACTCTTAAAACTATTTCTAAAAACCCACAGAAAATTCCCAAGTTGGCCTGAATATAGCTTTATTTTTTACATCTTCTGTTTAGAGATTCACATAATGCATTAATTCACTGTGAACATTCCATTAATTCCAGATTAATATTCCAAGTTCTGATTACTAACATTTTTTATAAAACACTGTTTTAATGTTTTTATGACAATAATACGACGACTTGTTAGTAATTTATTTATTTAAAAAAAAACAGCGGCTTCAAAAATCTATTTGAAGCATTACTTTGTGTTTGTAGAACAAAAGGTAAAAATATCTTCAAGTAATGTTTATCACAAAAATGAATTTATAAATCCAAAGCTAACAACTCTTAAAACTATTTCTAAAAACCCACAGAAAATTCCCAAGTTGGCCTGAATATAGCTTTATTTTTTACATCTTCTGTTTAGAGATTCACATAATGCATTAATTCACTGTGAACATTCCATTAATTCCAGATTAATATTCCAAGTTCTGATTACTAACATTTTTTATAAAACACTGTTTTAATGTTTTTATGACAATCAGATTAATGCATTTGCATGACGCTAAAAATGTAATATTGCTAAATTCTGAGTAATATTGGAATATTTTCAAACATGAAAAATTGTGATTGTCACACTGTAACTGTGGATTGTTATTATCATTACCTCTCATTTGCTGCTCGAAATTCATAAGGAATACAGGTTTATGAGGCCTGGTAACTTAATCATCCATTATTTGACCATATTCATCTGTCAAGACGACACGATTAGAGTTAATAGAATAAAGAATGATTCGAACAATTCGAACATTGAACGAGTCGTTTGGTAGCGATTATTATAAACCGTTTGTAGCGAATATTCACAAACGTTTATTCGTAGCGACTACACTTTTAATTATTTATTATGTCGCGTTTATTCGCAGCGATTATTATCAACCATTTATTTGTAGCGATTATTATCAACCGATTGCAGGGCGGTTTTTCTCGCTCGGATCTAGCCAAACCCGGTTGCAACGTGAAGGGCATGTCGCCAGGGTGGTAGGCTACATAGATATGAAATGATAATCTAGTTGCCATAACGTTATATTCCATTCATCCAAATGGGAGGTATCATTATAAAACGCAAGACTCGAAGGAGAAAACAAAAGCAAGAGAATATTTAGCTAAAACATTTTGACTCGCTTCAGAGCGGATCGAGGTCGAGCAGAGCAGAGCGCCCTTCAAGCGAAAAGATGGTGCTGAACGGGAAGGCGTTTTATTCAACAGTGCAAGCTAAAGATAGCACGTATTTCTGATTTTCCCTGTAAATAAGACACAATACATCTGCTCTAAGTGCATAAATGTGAAAAACACGGGCGAGAAAGTGAAAAGCATGGGTGAAAACCGTTCCCCTTACCTTCTCGAGCGTTCACCCAAGAATATGTTGCCGATGCACGCGCCCACTCGCATCTAATAAACCACTTTCCATTCAATGATCGATGCACTTGTGATGGTGATGTTTTCCAAATCCGTTATGCTTATGAGACGATATTGGGAATATGGGAGGGAAAACAGTCACGTCACGGCACTCCTACACACGCACGCGCGGAGATGAGCATCCGTTCCGCGCAGTGTTGCCAACTAATTTTCAGGGGAAGTTGCTAAAGGAAGGTTGATTTGTTGCTAAAAGTTGCTAAATGACGCGATGTCATTGCGCGGTGACGTCATTGCGTAATCACGATGCAAAATTGTGTCACTCACATAATGTATCAACAATACATCCAATGTCATCTGAACATATGGAAGAGAAGAGAAGAAAAAAAGTTGACAATGACTGTTAAAAGAGAAAGATGCATTTAAATAGCTTTTTTATGAACATAAAGAAAGGCGCGAGGGATGAGTGTATTGTGAGTGTGTGTGATGCTGAATACATCAGATCGTGAGGCCTCTAGACTCGCGATACTTCATTCCTTCACTCTCACTGACCTCAAACGCCGCGAGACCGCTCTCCACGGTACTGAAGCATATGTCTTTAAAAAAGATTTTGAGGTAAAACCTGAAATAATATTTTCTTGTAAAAAGCACTGCAATACTCTGTTTATTAACAACTTTTAAAAAAATCATTTTACAGTGTAATTCTTACACTTATCACATATAGTTCATAACATATAAAGGAGTATCAGACACATACATTAGGAGGAAAAATGGGAATGATGGCAAAACACGTTAAGATACATATCCTAAATAAGGCCAAGTAGCTGTATTACATACAGCTTTTTTTCAAAGGAAACATACACAGGAAAATTGTTGCTTAGCTGTAGAGAAGCTTACTACTTACAGTAATCTGTAGATATATGTATATAAATAAAATATTACAGTACTTACAGTAACTTGTATATGTAATATATGATATTACTGCATATACTGTATATTATATTTCTATGAACTTAATAAATTTATCACTTAATACATACAGAATTTTATTACAACCTACAGTAATTTGTAAGTTGTGTAATATATATATATTTGTAATTTGTATTGTAATTACAATACAAAACACAAATATATATTACAGTACTTACAGTAAATTGTATATCCATGTAATGTAATATATTATATTGTATATTTCTCTCAATATGTTATTTATATATATATATATATATAAATTTTATTTTGAAGAAATACAGTAAAAGTAAACTAAAATATTATTATTATTATTATTATTATTATTAACACTGCCCATTACATATGCAAGAACACACTGTGCACTAAACTAATAACACTAATAAATAAAATGTAATAAAT